AAACGGAGGGTAGAGGTGCGGCCAGCAGCAAGACGCAGCGCCCTCTGCTGCCGCGCCGACCGGCCAAAAGCGATGGCCCGTCGGCTGGGGGAAGGGCGTCCGCCCGCAGCAAGACACACCTATACGGAGGCGCACGGCGAGGCGTGTGAGCAAGGCACGAGTCGCGCCGCCAACCAGCCGCGCTGCCGCGGGCTCGCCTACACGCGCGGCCGAGGCCCGGAAGCCACTGCGCGAAAGGGGCGCTGCACGCGAAGCGAGACGGCGCGGCGAGCAGTGCGAGGGAAAGGGCCACGCCGCCGCCGCCTCGCGGCAGCGGGCGCGCCAAGCTGCGGCGCAGGCCTGCCAGGCTCGCCTCGTCGGACACGGCGCAAAAGAGCGCCGCTCCGGCGCCGCACCCGTCGATGAGGAAGGCGAGGCGCGTCACTGCCGCGAGCCGTCCCGCGGCGAGGGCCGAGTCCGGCTGCGGCGCCCACGGGTACCGCTCCATCACGAAGAGAGTGGGCGCCGCTGCGCACGCGGAGCCATCCGAGGGCCGCGCCGCAGGGCGGGGAGCTGCAGGGCGGGCAACTGTCGGGCAGGCAGCTGTAGCGCGGGGAGATGCCGCGGCGGGCGGAGACGCCGCTCGTGCGCTCGCCGACGCTGCTGCCGTAGCCGCCTCGTCCGCGGAGGCCGCGAGGGGCGCGGCAGGAGAGCGAGGGGCGGGAGCGGGCGAGGCGGGGGCGGCGGCCGCCGCCTCGCCCGCCGTCGCCGCGGCCGCAGCGCCGGCCGGAGTCTCGAGCCACTGCCGCACGAGGCGCGAGCGGAGCGCGGCGTCGGTGTGGGCGCGGCGCACCAGCAGCGCCGAGAGTCCGCCGCCGCCGTGCTGCACGAGCATCTCGAAGACCGCCGCCTCGTCGACAGCTCCCTTCTCGTCGCCGCCGCCGCCGCCGCCATCGCCGCTGCTGTCGCCATCGTCGCTGGTGCTGCTGCTGTCGTCGCTGCTGCTGCTGTCGCTCCCCTCGTCGCTGTCGCCGCCGTCGTCGTCGCGGCCGCCGCCTTCGGCGCCACCCGAGGCCTCGTTGCTCATTGCTTTTCCACCAGCGCTGCTGCCCCCGTCGCTGTCCCCACTGCTGCTGCTGCTGCTGCTGCTGCTGCTGCTGCTGCTGCTGCTGCTGCTGCCACTATTACCACCACGGCCGCCGTCGCCCTCGCTGCCGCTGCCGCGCTCGGCGGCGCTGCCGACGCGGCGACGTTTCGCAGCCGGCACCGATTCGGTGTCGGTGGGAACGTCAGCGAGCCACCTGGAGGGGTGAGGGAGAGCGCTGAGCAACACGGCTTGTGCGGGAGAGCAGGGGAGAGCAGGCAGGGGAAAACAGGGCTCAACGGGAGCGCACACCCGTCGAGAGGCAGGGAGCAGAGCCGCAGTTCGACACCGCCGCCCGCGTGCCACGTGAGCGCCAGGCCGCCGTCGATCGCGACCGCCTGCCCGAGACGAGTGTGGAGGTGAGACTTGACTGTGTGGCTGTGTGGCTCAAGCTGCGGTGCACAGTCGCCCGGTTCGCCTCCACCACCAGCGGCTCGAGGCGCGCAAAGAGGCTCAGTGAGGCCACATAGGCCTGGACGCCGTCCGGACCAAAGACGACGAGCCGCCTGCGTGCGAAGCGCGCTTGGGCTGGCCGCGGCCGCGTGCGTGCTCACATGGCTGGGCAGAGGCGCACCTCACACCAGCGTGCGCCAGGCTGAGCAGCAGGCCTGGCAGCCCGGCGACCGCAGCGGCGTCGAGCGAGGAGAGGAGGACTGCGTCGAGGTCTCGGTGCAGCTTGAGCCGGCGCTCGGCGCTCAGCCGCTGCGAATCAGGCGGGGCGGTTGGTTGTGGCGTGAGCGGGAGGTTCACTGTCTGGCTGTGGCAGGCGGCAGGCCTGCAGTCCCTCCGACGCGTTGAGGAGCAGGCGGCGGCCGCTGCTCGCCTCGACCAGCGCGCACGGCGTAGTGCCGTCGTCCCCAGTGCCGACGCACGTGATCTGCATGGGGTGTGGGGCAATGGGGCGCCCTAAGCACAGCCGCAGCGCAGCGTCGCAACGTCGAACGGGCCGGGCGAGGCGGGACGCCTCCGTGCCCTTTCGGAATTCTTTTTTCCGCGGATAACTCCGGCGACAGAAGGAGCCCGAACCCAGCGCGTTCGTCGATGGTGGGAGGCTAGTTTCCTAACCGGCAGGCCCAACGATGCCCAAGAAGAAGCCGCAGCTGCCGCTCTGCACGTACGGCGCCGCCTGCACCAGACCCGGCTGCATCTACCGCCACACTCCCAAGGGCGCCGTGCGGAAGAGCGAGATCGTCTGCAAGCCATTCCTGTCGGGATTGTGCGAGTTCGGGTCCAGGTGCCAGAACATCCATCCCGGGCCCGAAGGGCGGACAAGCTGCGCCGCAAGCAAGTACGCACTGTCCTGATAGCGTGCGAGTGGGGCGGGACCGGCTTTTGGCAATGGGGCGCCAAAAGCAATGGGGCAATGGGGCGCCAAAAGCACAGCGTCCTCTGTTGCCGACAGCGATTTCTTCGCCTCGGCGGCTCCGGTGGTGAGCAGGTGTGTGTGCCAGTCCGCGCCAGCCGCGCCCTTGTCGTGCCAGTGTGCTGTGAGAGAGGCTGGTATTTTGCATTTGGTGATTTGCCTTTGGTCAACAGCGAGGGCTATCGGGCGCGGCCGTTCAAGGCCGTTTTGAGGCCCAAGAATGCCCAAGAAGAAGCCGCAGCGACTGTCTGTCGTTCTCCACACCGCTTTGGTGGGCAGACGGTGAACGAGCTAGCGTGCGGGGAGAGCGGCTTTGTGCACAAACCTTTAGTGCATTGCCGTTCTTACCGGAGTCGCTTAGGGCCTTAGGCGCACAGTAGGCGGTTCCGGTGGTTTGCTTGTGATAGATAGTGCTAGCACGCGCCAGTGCGCACCTATTCTTTTTTCTAAGCAAAATTCTTTACCACAAAACTAACCACGACACACGACCCTGACGGGCAGGAGCCCGAACCCAGGCGCGTTCGTCAGGGGAGGCTGTTAACCGGCAGGCCCAACGATGCCCAAGAAGAAGCCGCAGCTGCCGCTCTGCACGTACGGCGCCGCCTGCACCAGACCCGGCTGCATCTACCGCCACACTCCCAAGGGCG